ATTTGGATAATTTCAGCCCTGGAATTGCCAATTTAACTGAGCAAAATGTAAAAGGTAGCTACCACTACATGACCTCACAAGGTAGAACAGAGCATTATGAGCTTTGGAGATGTAGACAGACTAATAATGGAGGATTACTCAGACATGTTTTTAGGGAGGCAACAACATTATAACATGGCGAAGGAGAAATTCAATTGGTCAACTGTACAAAAGTTTATTTTGGTCAAATACGTTTCGCAGCTCATCCAAGCTGCTTCGTCAGTTCTGAACTTTGCCATGGGTGATACCTGGATGACTGAGGGATTTTACAAACATTATAACATGACATCAGTTTAGTGTAATATATAACCATTAACACAGAAACATTTAGTTATTTTGTGGAAAAACAAGCAAGTCAAGATGTGTACAATATTTAGATTTAATATATGGAAATTAACTTGAATTTTGTGTTTTGTTCATTCTGTTAAAGTGTCAGTTAGAATTAGAAAAGTTAAAATCATATTTCAGAGCATTCTTCATGGCGATCAATACTTGTTATGCCATACTGTGAAATAATCTCCAAAAGAACAACATTTTCATGGAAACAAGCAGGCGTTCCTCAAGACAAAAGTGGCTCCTGCTCACAGCCAGGACGCAAGTTTTTCAGTGCAATAAAAACATCTGAAATGCCCAAATGAAATGATTAAATAAATAAACACGCCTTTATTTTAGTCTATTTTTGTGTGACCGCTACAGTACGTGTGGTGCATGTGGTGTGGCTTTAATTGTAGAACAGATTTTCAGAGTGCAGCTTGCCTTTTTCATCTTTATTTAATTACTAATAAAAACAATCATACAACTGTTGTGCTTTGATTAGATAGGACTTTGAAATATTGTGGTATCTTGGGGCTTTATTTTTATGTTAGAACCAAATTACATAAAGCTAAATGTTATGTAATGGCTTATCCTATGGCAAAATACACAAAGTAATGCCTGCGTGAGCCCCATGTACCAACTATATTGTCTGTTTTTGTAGCAGTAGCCAAGTACTCAATCATATTATTAGACATTGATTTTGCTGAAGCACTGCTGAATGTGGCCACCGGTGAAATTGGTAACCTGTCAAAAAGGAAAAGCAATAACCTGAATTATGCATTGAATTTATGTTCCCATTGATCCATGATGGCAACATATTCTGATAATGTTAACTCGTAAGCTGTATTTAGCAGAGACCAAATCAAAGAAACGAACCCTTAAAAATATTTCTACAAAACTCTTCCTCAAATACATCTAATCCTATTTTGTATTTGCACAAAGTCAGATTAAGTACCCAGGGTGACATGTGTAGCGTGATGTAATCCACATGAAACACAAGCGCGGTGCCGAGTACTGTGCTCCCAGCTACACACTGTAAAAAATCTCCTGTCTTTTAAAGAGTGCGTACTAGGGAAAAAGAGAAGAAATCTGGCAGTGTGGACTAGAGCACACCTGAACTGGCAGCCTACCTTGTCCAGTCCATTATGAACTATCAGACTGGTATTTTAAAGATTAGGAGTTGTCACGGTGCACTGTAAAAAACTACACATTAGAAGCCAAGAATCAATATTTGGGTTGAAGGGAGTTTTTGTCTTGGCATGAGCTTCTGGGACTGACCCAAGCCAAGCAGGACATGGTTGGTGATAGACGACATCAGATTAATAATAACGCATGAGGACAGATGCGGGGCTATCTACCCAATATGTCAGCTTTTAACACGGACTCCCATCATGCATCACTCACCATTTGCCAGTGGTACACACACATCTGACATGCGAAAGGTCTTGGTCATTCCTGAAACCTCTTTTTGCACTACACAGGTCTCATTAATCTTTTAGCTCACTGCAGGCTATGTGTTTTTGCCAACATGGCTACTGTGTTGTTCTGGCTGTTCATTTAAATCTGAGATGTTTTTTGTGTAAATGTTTTTATAAATTACAGGTTGATATTTTTTTGCTTAATAAATAAATTGCAATGAATGGGACAATAGTGTACAAGCAAACAAATTGGACACCTCAATATTAACCACAAGTTCCTTATTATTTATTGTTATTGTGTAGACCATTCAAGCATAAACTTACTGATATAAGAAGTTAAATGATTAGTGAACAGTGACGTTATATTTGTTGATAATAGAAAAACAAATACCTGTGTACTTTATAGCTGTAGCAAGAGTACACAATAATGAATCTGCCCTATAAACATGTATTAAAGATTCATTAACATCTAACATAACGTCCTCTGCAGTGGGAGTCTGGTCACGCAACTAGGACACAAGGAAAAGGCTGAATATCAGCTCCTGAATACTTTATGCCCTTGTGATACAGTAACCCTCAATTTGTTGTGGACATAAATAAAACATGTAGTACATGTGTAGGAGATGGTGGTCTTATGTGAGAGAGGAAGAGGACGACTCCAAACTGGGCCAGACAAGCACTTAACACCGACTTTTCATTGATGTGGGTGGAAAGATATCCAGACACTGTAAAACTATGTCAGTTTAAATTCAGCTTAAATAAAATAGAAGAGTGTTTGCGTTCAGTGATGAGAGGGGAAAAAAATTAATTGACAAAAAAGACAGATTATTTACTGCATTTATTATTTAAAAAAAAAATTGTTATGGATAAAGTCAGAATGTTTGCATTCATACATTTGCTTTCTACGATTTGACATATTAAATGTTAACAATACCAATACCTTATTTGTAATTAGTCATTTATTTTACTGATATCTACTGTTTCTTTTAAGAGTGCACAGAGAATGAGGGTCTAGGGGTTGGACTTTAGACTGAAATGTGTCAGATTTATATTGAAGATAGAAGTAGTGAAAAGTTAGCATTGACGCTGTGACCATGCTGCCACCTGCTGGTCTGTATATGTATGATTCCACCTTTACAGTTCTTCTTTCTAACTGAATCCAAGCCTTTTTTTCTCCCCCTTCATAAAATTATGTCCACTGACGTCCACTGTGCTCCCTGTGCAAGCTTTACCGCAAATTGAATACTACCCGCATTCAATAGTGCAAAACCAAGTGATCAAATAACAGGGAGGAAATTGCATTCAGCCTGTGGTCATATCTGATATATTGTTGTTTAGGATCACTTTAGACAGAGACACGATGTGCATAATTTTACAGAGCAGAGGAAAGGTTAAAGGGTGGACTTAGGACAGCGAGATTTGTCCTATAAATGCATTTTCTGTCAATACTGTATTCAGTTCAGCTCTCTCCAAATGTCAGTCATGATTAATAGTAAGAATGGCCCTCCACTGCATGTCACCAGTAGTCTGTTTGATGGACACAGCTACTTGAGACTAGCACTCCGCACTGGTACAACTGGCCTTTTTCCCAGTTAATAGAGGCTGGCATTTTTATTGTTCTGAGTGCTGGGGCAAAATTGCATAGATATGAAAAAATGGCTTCTCTCGGCAGCTTGTTAAAAAAGCAATTATAGCGGCAGCACAATAGCCATTGTCGAGCATGTTCTCTTATTGGTGTCATGGCTTTCATTTACTCAATTTGTCCTAAATGTCACTGTTTGTGTGAGTGTGTGTCTGTGTGTGTGTGTATGCAGTGTTAGATATGACGTATGCATGACACTAGTTTCGACGGTGTAATTTAAACATGAGTCTGTACAAGTAAATTGAATGTGTAAGTTGTGTTTGAAGGACAGGCTCTTAAAATGCAAAGTCCTGGTTGATTTAGGGACTTTGGTGTACATTTATGCCGTATGTGTCATGTCTAAGCTTCTTAAAGGGTTTATGTATTTGGCTTAGAGAAGACGGCCAATGAAGCCAACAGTATAACAGGATAAGGCTCCGAATGGTGGTGATGTAAATGGTGACTGAAAATTGTCACTGGCCTAATGTTTAAGGATTTTGAAATCTAACACTGTTGCCAAATAATGTAATTGATTAAGCACAGAGAAAAGTCCACTGTTTATTTTTTTGTTTGTTTGTTTTTTGTTTTTTATGTATTACATTATAATATGGAAAAGGCAGTAACAATCCCATATGTCAACATTATAAGATCCCCAACTTAAAAAAACTTGCTGTGAATAAATATTTTTTATTCCTAAAATCAAACATTGAATAGAAAAGCTGATAGCTGAGGTCAATTAAAGACAATCAATTAATCCATCCATGGACTACAGGTGGAAATTAGCACTGGTGCTACAACCTAGTACAGTGTGTCTCTCCTGTTACGGTTAATGTAGATTGTGCACTGTCCCTGTCTCAATAAATAAATAAATAAACTAACTAACAAACTAACAAATTCTACAAGAACACCATGTTACAAAACTGGAGTAATGTGTGAAGAACTTTTGCAGTAGATTTATTCTAAAATATCCTAAAATTACATCCTAACCAAACCTCTTGTATGGCCAAACTTCCAAACTTGTCAAAGCCAGATCTCATCAGTTCTCAGAAACTAAGCAGGGCTGGGCCTGGTTTGTACTTGGATGGGATACCACTGGGAATACCAGGTGCCACAGTCAGTGGCAAAAACTGTTGCCGCTCTTAGGCGAGACACCCACATTACCTAGAATGAAAGTGGTGTGTGCGTGAGTGTTGAGGTGGTTCTAAAAGATGGTGCAAAATAGCAGCCTCTCTTCTGCCAGTCTGCTCCAGGGCAGCTGTGTTTAAAAAAGTAGCTTACCACCACCAAGTGTAGAGTGTAACATGACTTTGATCTGGAAAAGCAAAATATAAGCCTAATACATTATTATTCTTAATTTTCTTTGTATTATTATTATCTATTGAAGCCACTGTACATGACACCATCAACCCAGGAACTTTTTTAAAGAGTGTAGTTAAAAAAGCTTTGTAAATATGCTGATCTACCTGAAACCCCCTAATACTGGGGCATCATTTACAAATCATTTAGTGCTCATTTACTTTTATATCTTCTTTTTGAATGTTTTTGTCAAAGTCAAATTTTGGCCTACATGTTTCCCTTCACTGATGATATTTGTGTGTCTTTTACAGGTGCTGATGAAGCTGGTGATGAAGAGGAGGACACCAATGGTACTGTCCCTCTACGGGCCATTAGCACACGAGCTTTAGCCCCGCGGCTCGAGTCCTGCTTTCTCATGTCATTTGTCATGAAAAATTGAAATTTCCATTCGCTCCAGTCCACCAGCTTTCTCTGTCTCCCCCTCTGTACCCCAACCACAAAAACTTCTCTTATCACAGACGCACGGAACAAAGAAATCCCTCAATTATGTATGGCTTTAGAAGTGACATTCTTTTTCCTCTTCTTTTCTGTCACTTAATTTATGCATGTCTTTGCGGTTCCATTGCTCTCATACTGTGCACCAAAAACACAGCAAGCCCAAAGACAGAAAATGAAAGGGTTTTTGAGGTGATATTAAAATGCATCGCTAGTGCTGAACTCTGCTCGTTTTCAATGCCCTATATGGCTGTTTGTTTGCAGATGCTGAGGCCAATGCGGACGTGGATATGATGAGCCAAACCCAAGGTACAGTAGACAGACAGCGGTGCAGCCGTGCATAAGAGAATACAGAGGAGGATTATGGGTAATGGTCCATGCATGAGAAGACACGACACTGTCTAGTCGTCACAGGTCCGCCTCCAGTTATGAAGACATATGACTGACTGGGTTCTGTGGCATTTCTATAAAGGAATTCAGTCAATAAAAGCAACAGTAGATGGTGGATTCATCAGTAGTAAAAGTAATAGAAGTAGTAGAAGTAGTAATATTAGTAATAGTAGTAGTAGAAGTAGTAGTAGTAGTAGGAGGAGGAGGAGGAGGAGGAGGAAGAGGAAGAAGAGGAGGAGGAGTTATAGTTGAGGTAGTAGTAGTAGTTATAGTTGAGATAGTAGTTGTAGTTGTAGTAGTAGTAGTTGCAGTTGTAGTTGTAGTAGTTGCAGTTGTAGTAGTAGTAGTAGTAGGAATAGGAGTAGTAGTAGTAATTGTAGTTGTTGTTGTATTAAGGTACTAGTAGTGAAAGTAGTAGTAATATTAGTAGCAGTTGTAGCATTAGTTGTAGTAGTTGTAGTTGTAGTAAAAGTAGAAGTAATTGTAGCAGTAGTAGTAATAGTAGTAGTAATAGTAGTAGTAGTAGTAGTAGTAGTAGTAGCAGTAGTAGTAGTAGTAGTTGTAGTAGAAGTAGTTGTAGCAGTAATGGTTGTAGTTATAGTAGAGGTAGCAGTAGTAGTAGTATAAGTAGTAGTAGTTGTTGTTGTTGTAGTAGAAGATGTAGTAATAGTAATAGTAGTAGTAGTAGTAGTAGTTGTTGTTGTAGCGGTAGTTCTAGTAGTTGTAGTAGTTGTAGCTGTACTTGTAGTATTTGCAATTTTTGTTGTAATTGTAGTCATGATTGTCATAGTGGTAGTAGTAGTAGTAGTAGTAGTACACAAGGTGAGACCTTGGGGTTAGGAGAAGCCTCTAGCATCAGCAGCAGTAATCTAACTATATTCATCACTTCAACCCTGCAAAAATATTTTGGATAAATAGAATTAGTTCTATCACAATTTGTTTTTAATTATTTTTTATTTTTATTGGATGAATAGTATAAAAATAGTGGTAAAAGTAGTTGTGGTACAGTTATACTAATTTGTAGAAGTAATTGACGTTGTAGTAGTACAAGTACAGGGGTTGTCGTAGATACTTTCCTTTGCTTTTACAAATAGATGTACTTAATAGTCCCTGTCCTCTCCCCTGCACGACGATAACTAACTTCCACATCTGTGAATGCGTCCGTGCAGACTGCTGCTGCTAAAGACCTTAACTCTCCGATGTGCTGTCAGTTTGAAGTGAATGGACTGTGTGTGCGTGTTACAAAGGGCCCAGCCATTAACTTTAAGCTAGCACCATTTTTCTCTTTCAAGTATCCTCCGCACCGCTGCTATATAATTAAGATTCCCACATTTGCATATTGCCAGTGAGCAGCACCGTGCCTCTCTCTTATGTTTATTCAAATCTCGCCCCATTGACAACCATTTGCCAGAAACGCTCAGAGCATGAACTTTCGGGTGGTTATTTTCTACTAAACTTGTATAAAATGCAAAACTGGGATCTAGGCCAAAGCTTAGAAATGCAATTTGTCTCTCATAGGACATAAACAAAATGCCATAGCAGCCAGTGAAAGTGGATATGTATCTATTTGAAAACACCTGCAGGCCAAATTGACAGCAAATTCATTTTATGTTTCGCTGCTATAGATCAATATGTTGCTCAGTTACGCAGTGTGAAATCTTGTCAGTGTGAAGATTAGACACACTATTTCCTCCAAGTTTTTTTTAAAAAGTGAATCTAGAAAAAGTTGAGACTGAACTGTAAAAAGAAAAACTTAAATAATAATAATAATTCACATATTTTCGATCTAATAGTGTGTTTCAGGTGCACTTCAAGAGTCGTTCAATTTAAGAATTTTGCATTTCAGTTTTTATCTTACACAAGGGTTGATCCAGGAAAGAGAAATTTATGTTTTTTCTCATTGTTCCAAAACTTTCAATATCGAGTGTGTGAAAAGCATGCTACCTTTTCAGAATCAGAAGTTTTAGTGTCATTGTCGGTGAACAGAATTCACAAACTGGGTACTTGCTTTAGTGGGATGGTGCAATATAAAACTGTGAATAATACTAGTGAATAGTATTAGCAATGTAGATAAAAACAGACTTTGACCGAATATACACAAAATATATGGAAATAGTGAACAACTTTCAGCTCAAGTAGATTCATTATGTTTTAAGTAATGTGCTTAAATCCTCCACCTTGCCAGAAGCCATTGCTATAAATCCATGCATTACAAATTGACTGTGAATCTTCAAATGTTTATAAAAGGTGGCGTTTCTGACATTTTAGTTCCTCTTTTCTTGCCGACTGCCTGTCTCTCAAACTGCGAATAGAGCAACCTGTTAGCATAGAAATGTTCCCCCGAGTTTCCTGTCTGCGCTGTAATGAACTATTGGACTTCAACTATGTTTTGGAGAATTTGATGTGATAACTTTGACTCCCAGTGCCTCTTTGAATCTTTCGTCGTGTCCTGATTTCAACGTCTTTTGCCGACAGATGAAGAAATGGGCGCTGATGAACCAAACCCAGAGGAAAACCAGGAACAAGATGTGAAGCAAGGCAAAGGCAAAGATGCAAGCGCTGGAAATAACAAAGATGAAGACACAGATGCTGCTAAAAGCCAAGAAAAAGGTATTTATTTTGACACCATCATAGACACTGATCAGAGGTAGCATTATGAACATGGATTCAGCACACTAGAGGTATTTTCTGAATTATTTTGCGCCTGGTATGAGTGAGAAATATATCTGACAGCAAACCATTTGTTCTGGCATGTTAGAAATATGCAAAATGTGTGAGGATTGTCACACAATTTGCAGCAGGGTAATCAAAACTAAATCTAGTAATAAAACTAGGTATTTATTTGAAGTGTTAATAGGGATGTAACAATAATCGTCAAAGTTCTCACAATAATATCGTGGACCATCACAATATATTGAATTAAAGTCTCTTTGCTTAAATTAAGAGTTATGATGCAGCAATAGCTAAAAAAAAGACAGAGGGAACTAGATTACATGAAGAAATAACAGATCTAAGGAAAAAGTAGTATATTAAATTTTGTTAGCCCCCACAAAATATCGCAATAAATATCGTACCGTGAGATGCATATTGGGAAAATATCGTACAGATAGATTTGGATATTGTTACATCCCTAATCGTGAACCTCCCCACCACATCGTGAGCTTTCCCACGATATCTCAGTAAATATCGTACCGTGAGGTTTATACTGTGACAATATCGTATCGTGAGACTTGGATATCATTACACCTGTAAGTATTAATACTGAAGAAATCATATCAATAGAATTTTTTTAAACATTATTATATTGGTCTTGATCAGAACTAGTACTATGTGGTAAAAAATAAAGAAACAATTTTTGGCTCACAAGAATAACATCTGACCAGCTGCTGTAGCTCAAATTAAGAGTGGCTGGCGAGATGCCAAAAAAAATAAATAAATAAAAAATCTTAATTTTCTGATCTTTTAGCCAACATACATTTTTAATGTCATCACTAATCATGTAGTTAGTATATTTAGATTACCTTTAAGAAGTAACTAAAGCCATCTACTTCTAAGAGTTCACGCTTCAATATGACTGATTAAATTAATTTATTCAGAGCATGACAGAAGCTGACAGAAAGGAGGAGAGGGTGGAGAAAGTGTTTATATTGTTAGCTGCATTAACAAGAGAAGCAGTCAATCAAAACGTAACAATTTCACCGTAAAGTCTACCTCTAGCTCAAATAACTAAGCTTATTGCTATAAAGATATAAAACATATTACACAAAGAAAGAAATGGATCATCATGTTGACATAAGCAATTTTCTTGCGCATATGCGAATGACACATTTTGAATGCTGTAATAAATTAAACTTTCTATATCACAATCGTAGGTTTGCTAGAATATCTTTTAGAATAGCTTATTTCCACTTTCTTTGTATCTGTTTCTCGACATCAAATAGATCTATGCAAGTGCACGCATTAAGTGACGGAAGATAGAAGTCTGTGATGTGAACAGTGTAACATATCAGCCATGTAATATCTACTGAGAATTGCAATTCAAAGCACGCAGCCTACAATCTTAAACAAGCGTGACTACTTGGCATGTCAGCCGTCCTCTCTCTATAAAAGTGTAATATATTGTCCAAGTATGTATCAATTGTAAACCATTTGAATATTTTTCAGCCAAGGAAGAGGAGACTGAAGCAAAACCAGAGCAGGAGGCTGAGGGAGATGTGGAGATGAATACACAGACATTAACTGTAGAGGTGGAAGGTAAGATCTGTGATGTGGCTGCATGTATCGAGTATTAGTGTGAAGGGTGTAGTTATGGGAATCTGAGCAAAACACAGTAATGCAGTAATGGACTAGCACTAAATGACTACTTCTATTGTGCCTTGAACTCATTGGAACCACTTTCTGTTTTTTGCAACAAAGCTTCTTATTTGAATGGCTTTTTGATTACTTGTGTTTATTCAGAAGATACATTAGTGTGAATTGTTCATTGCTATGACAACGGTCTCATAAGTGTAATTTTACTACAGATTTTTTTTTTTTTTTATGTATAGAGTGTGTTTAAAAGGTGAATGGCAAGAGCATTTAACAAAAAAAAACAAAAAACTATTTTGCGATGATAAATTGTGCTTAAATCTTTTTTCTTCCAAATGTGTCTTTTTCAGTAATTTGGAACTTGCTTAATAGTTTCCTGCAGAGTGTGTAATTAGTTTGATGAGACTGACGAAATTGTGTTTCTTTGTCTGTTATGATTGGTTAAAATTGAATTGCAGAGTTAGTTTATTGAGGTCTTCAGATTTCTCGACAGTATTTCAGTTGGTAGAGTGTTTGTCCAGTGATCAGCAGTCAGATCCACTGATCCACAGGTTGGAGGTACGACTGTCATTGTGTCTTTGGGCAAAACGCTTAACACAAGACACCCCCTTGTCTCTAGTGCCTGCGTACACTGGTGTATGGATGTGTGTGTGTGAACGCGTAAGTGGTTCATTGATGTAAAGTGCTTTGAATTTCTTGAAGGTGGAAAAGTGCTATATAAAAATGTGACCATTTTGGATAGACCAGATAAGGTTTTTAGTCATGTATGCACATAACACGCAATTCTATTTAAGGCAACCAGTGTTATTTAAGTTAACTGACAACCAGCACCTACACCTTCCCGGTAGGCATTGTTATCAGGTTTGTTCATGCAGAGTGTGAAACTACAAGGATCAGCTATATCTACTGCACTCTATATATTTTGCACCTACTACATACACTAAAATACAACTGTGCTAAATGCATGAGCAAATTGATTTACATATTTTGAAACAATTACCATAACAAGAGATATATGTAAATTGATTAAGATAAAGAACTCAAAGCATGTTTGAAGGATAGTCAACAGTGTTATTTCTCAAGTACACATTCAAAAGCAAGGAAATCATCAGTATCATCTATAATACATACTACTTTCATACATTTTTAAACTATTTTAATTTATTGCTAATACATCCTGTTACAACTGGTAGATTTAAATTTTCTTTACTGCCATACTATTTCTCAAAAGTACCTGAGAAAAGGCACAAGAAACTGCCAAACATCAACAACTGTTAAAACTTAGCATTAGAATTTATACAATGAAAATAAACTCCAATTGCTTATTAAAAAAAGCACATTCAGCAAGTTTGTTACGCTAATAAATTGAATCTCAACAACCTTACACAATGCATTTTCTATGAAGTCCTGCTCTCATTCTGAAGCAGCCCCTTCACTCAAATGAACCTGATAATGAATCCTGCTATTATTCACCGCAGCCCTCTGTCCAGGACCTGCGCCTATTTACGTTCCCGCTGACCACATGGGACATGAGGCTTTATTTCTCCACATTTATTCAGTGGCAGTGATTAAACTCTCTCTGTGTGTGGAGGAGTCAAGGGTAGATCTACGCGGCGCCTCTCCATCGTCGCAGCAACACAAAGGGTCTAAGTCACTCCCTCACCTCTATTTCACTTTCTCTGAGTGACATTCAATTAATTTAGGCGGAGACTGGGTATTCCAGATAGATGCCTGCGAGATAGACTGCTCTATCCTCCTCTGAAAAGCCATTGGAATACGCCATCCAAAGCTCAGCAGCCTCTCCATCAGGAAAGCTTCAGTCCAGCCTGTTGATTGTGTCCTGCTTTGGCCTGCCCTGTCTGTCACTACCTCTGGGTTACCATGCTCCGCCTTTGTCAGCTGTAAACACTGGTGTCACTTCAGATCGTCTGCAGATTGGATTTTGTGTGCAGGATTGTGGACGGACCAGCTCGGATATTGAATCTCAACTTTCCCGTCCGTGACCAGTTATTCACAAAACTCAATGAATCCCAAGCCAATAGCCTTTATTAAAAGTAATAACTGTAATCAAGCTGCTGGGGCACGGACAGGGAGGTTAACTGCGTCACTGTGAGGAGTAATAATAAACAGGCTCATTACAATGGGAGGAATGAGAAACAGAACAGCTGAATGTGATGCTCACCTGCTACACCTGCTTTCTCAACGTGTGTGATTTAGACCATCACTTGGTCCATCGAAGTAATGTTTGAAAGCACAGTTAACCTTGCATTTGTGTATAGTCATTTTGAGTTCCTGCCAATAATAAACACATATTTTGTGCTAGGAACGGGCATCCATTATACTAGTGAAAGGCTCATTGACTTCCTGTTCAAACGTAGAACTAATAGGCTCAGTTTCTTTATAGTGGAATTTCATTATAACAAATATGTGTTTTTATTGTTGGAAAATGGTTATGTGACATTTTTAACCATACACGTTTGAGATACAGAGAAGTGCAAGGACGTGGGAGGAGGTAAGGTTTAGGTGAAAACATGAATGATGAGGGAACATTATAACATGCCTCATAAAACCTCATAAAAGTCAATTTTACATAATTTGTAACGACCAGCATAAACAACTTCTCTAGAATTGACTGCAAGCTATATAATAATCATAAAATAATCTAATAATAATAATAATAACAATAAGAATAATAATAATACATCTTTATTTATAAATCACTTTTAAAAACAAGGTTTACAATACAAAACACAAAAAAGCATACAAAAACAGGCAATGATGCAAACAATCATATAAATTCTAATTAGGGATGTAACAATAACCGAAATATCGTGATATATTGTCAAAAGTCTCACAATAATATCATGGGCTGTCACAATATATTGAATTACACTTTCCTTTGCTTAAATGCATAGTTTTATAGTAGTAACAGCTTATAAACACAAGGAACTGCATATCCCATGATTCATTTCAGTGCAGACAACATGAAGAGATTCTTGGGAAATAATTCACACCAAAATCTTGTCAAGGTATTTTAAACACAAAAAAGTGTCCTATCTAGAAATATATTAATCTCAAATCAATATTGCAATAAATATTGTACCGTGAGATGCATATCGTGATAATATCGTACTGAGAGATTTACATCCCTAATTATAATAAATAAATAAAAAGAAATAGAATACAAATAAATGAGGAATAAAATCAAGTTTAAAAAAAAACTGTTAAAGGAAACTGATACAAATGAGTCTTAAGAAGTTATTTAAAAGATGATGACGATGCCTTATCTCCTCAGGCAGGTCATTCCAAAGCCGAGGCGCCAGGACTAAAAACATCAGATCACCTTTGACTTTTTCAAGATCAGGGCAGGAGAGGATAATTTTGATTTTGCTAATTGTGTGGAAGTGGAGAAAACAGGATTGGGTGACTTTTTTGATAGGAAGGTGGAAGTTGAGGTGAGAGTCAAAAATGATGCCAACGTTTCTGGCAGGAGGGGTGATGTTGGGAGCGAGAGGCCCGAGATTATTGCTGATATGGGAGGTAGATTGGAGGGGTTGATTAAAATGATTTCAGATTTGGAGCTGCTGAGTTGTAGAATATGTATATAATATGTTTTCTTTTCACCTCGATCAAGCACAACCACATTGCCACTTATTCTTTGTATTTGCACTTACTTAAGTTATTATAAACTGTTACCGAACTTCCTTATAATTAGTTTGCGTTGCATAACGTCCTGATCATGCTCTTTCATAACATATCTTCTTAGCAGTTATCTCAACTCAAAGTATAACTGTGCTCTCGTTTCTCCACACCATCGCAGTAAGTAGTCATGGGATCAGGCCCCGGAGGAGAGGTGGTGTCGTCGTACACGTTAATAATGTTAGCAGATGTGTTGTAGGTCTGTCTCAGCAGTCTTCTCAAATACCGCTGCATTAACACTTTGCGATGCACTTGTCTCCTCTGTTGACACCGCATTGTTAGCACGTAGCTTGGCGTTGTTAGCGCGTAGCTCACTGTTGCACATTTGAAGAGTGTGTTCCGGCTAAACATCACGACCTTAGCACAGTCACACTCCATAATACCACCCCAAAGACAAATGTTTTTAACTGCTTTAATTCATCGCGCTAACTTGGTAAAAAAAAAAAAAAAGTATTACAGGGAACATAACTTTAAAAATATATGTATGTTGTGATGCAAATGTTTTCATAACACACACACAAACACATCATAGGAAAAGTGATGAGTCCATCTGAAATATCCCCAACATGATACATGATGCTTTAGTTTATCACAATAACATGGTAAAAACGTATTAGAGGGAACATAATGTCAAGAAAAGACAGTAGTCAGTTTGAAAGAGGGGGGTATTATGCAAAATAGCTTTAACTTTACATCATGTTATAATGTTGCAGTATCTGCAGTGCCTCCTTTTAATTAGAAATACAAGACCATGCCTCCTGTCTCAGCCCACAAGCCCACGTAACCAGGAAGCTCTCAGCACACCACACGGCACCTCGCCACCCAGAACAGCAAGATGCAGAGAGTCAAAAACAAAACTGAAACTAATGACACTTTTTAACATATAAATAGCATTTTAAAAAAGCTGATAATAATTTGGGGAGCAGCATTTGGGTCCCTAACCAATCTTTAGAAATAATTTTTAAAAATTTTGTAATATTCTAAATCACACTGAGACCAATACCAAGTGCCAAATAAAATATTTGTTTTTCCTAATAACACCAGGACTAGACCAAACTGAGCCATATCAGATCTTTGGGTGTAAATCAGTGTGTAAACAAATTCAGCCTCAACTTTACTGAAGCACTAAAGTGTGAATATTAATAATAAATAAAGAAAAAAATCACTGTGTACCACCAGTGCTGTATCCATCTGAGAGTCACTTGCGTGGCCTTTTCTGCATCTAATGTTTGATTTATTTCAAAGAA